CTCCACTTAAACTTTTATGAGCTTTTCAGTAGCGAGAACGAGGTGAGGATCAAACACGCACTCCGTTTCAGCCCTTTTGTTGTGGTGGTGTTGAATAATCTCCCACCCAAAGCATACGCACTTCAATCATGTCGTAGAAGTTTGTCAAAAGAAGGCAAAAAATAGGATTTAAATAGTAACATAGCCGAGTTCACTTTCTGCTTTCGCCAAACGTTGTAATAGAAAAGCATTTAGAAAGAGAACGCAGGAGTGTTAAAGTGAACACCACCCATGAAAGCAGTCGAATTAACAGTTTTACAGAAGGAATGTAGCCCAGTTGTGTGCGACTCGCATTCTGCATCGTTCCCTCCTTGTCATATTTATCGCACAGTCACACGATCACTTTTATTTTTGAACAAACTTTATAAAGGTGAAGAAAACTAATACAAGACTTTTCTAGGTATCATTTGCATCGTCGTCCCCTTATGGATCACACTACGCGCACTTCTTCCACTTCGATGAGGCGTCACACCTAGAAAAGCCATGACGGATGCTTTCTTCTGCCATCTGTGTAGCACCGCAAGAGTTCAATGGAGGGAAAATAAATTACAGCAAACAAATGAAACTAGGACCGCATACGAAGAGGTCCTTCGCCACCACCAAGTAACACTAAAAATTGGCACAACAGACTGGGGCTTAGGGCTGCTACCTCGACCCGATGGATAGCCTACGAGACGATGGAACAAAGACGGACCACCTGGGCGACATATTCCATGCAATCACGTCGATCAACAACAATTTTTCCAGCAGTGTTGTACGTATTGGCATTCACAGTGCATCCACACCGTTATTCGAGTGGAAACGACTGTACATTCAACAATCTAGTTGCCATTTGATAGATTTGTCATTCATCACTTGCTCACATGTCCAGAACCACTTTACAAGCTCCATACCTAACCCCAAATGTAGTTCAATTGTATGTAGAATGGACATCACTCTTGATTTAGGCCTTTTGCTTGAGCTTCCATACATGTGGTGAGCGATGGAGCTCAATAACTCACTTTGCATTAAATCTCCCAATCGCGTCAGAGGTGACCAGTTGCAGGCGCACCCTCTATCCATCGGATCCCTTCCTGTTTCCCTGGTGCTAGCAGTTTGGTTCCCCTAGCTCGAGACACTTTCGATCACCATGTGTACTCCTACCACAGCCTTGTGCCAAGGCATTTGTGACCGACAGACCGCATTCTACACAACTGCTGGACATTGCTTTGCGTAAACGCGGTGTATGACGTCAGGCAGGTTGAGGGCAGACAACACCCAAAACACGATTCCTAAAATGCAAAAAATCTGAACCCCACTACCCAACCAAAGTTAAGGAGAAATTACGCTGAGACCAGAAAATATTAATGATATTAACAAATCGTGTAGACAATGGTTATCGATGTATTCAACACATCATCCACCAATCAGCCACCTAGTAGCTACGTCCAAAGAGGGTGTAAAAGGTGGCGGGTTTCGTGCAGAGTGGGTGCCGGAGGCAGGGCGAACCATCGCTTACCGGGCCTGTCTTCACACCGCCTAATTCTCCCGCAAAGGGAACGCACAGAGACTTGGCCCCCATTGAGGGAGCTCCTGGGGTCACAACCACATTTCTAAAAACCGACAAAAAACTTCATCAAGAGGTAATCACAATTACAATAAAGATGGGAACCAACCCCGTGCCAGACGTTGAGATATGCGCTTTTTAAATCCTAACTTATATGCTTAGTACGGCTTCAGTTTCGAACAGAATGCTTTTTCGATGCCTTATCCTCAACCAGGTATGAAATCGGATTAGATAGGGGACACCCACAACTTACTCTGAAGACTCAACGCGGACCGCATCTTCGCAGAGCTCATCACCACAGAAGGGTGCCACGACAATGCACTTCTTGTCCAGTGCACTAGTCAATTCTTCCATGTTCTTCGCAGACAGGATATGCGAGTTCTGGATGCTGGTAGCGCGAGATAACATAAGGTCGTGAACTTCATCCAACATACCTTTCACGGAAGTAGTCAACCGGTTCAGCGAAATTGTAGTCTATACAAAAGAAAGCGAAAAAAAAACAAACACGTTCGCACAATTTTGAGAGTCAAATAAGCGCTACGCGTGATAGCTGGATTCACCATTATGACTGAATTCTAACCAATGCCACTTTGCTGCCTAGCCTCTTACGGAACGCCTTAACGTGGGTAATATAATCCTAACCCCAAGGATTTAAACAAGGCATCGTAGGAACTAGCACATAAACAACGGTCGTACCTTTTCCCCAGTGTATCGCACCACTGCGGTAACCTCAGCCTTCGACAGGTCCTTGAATCCCACCTCAACACGCAGGGGTACTCCTTTCAGCTCCCAATGATTAAACTTCCAGCCAGGAGAGACATGGTCCCTGTCATCCAAGTGCACCCTCAATCCTCCTTCCTCGCGTAGACGCGCAGTGATGATCTTAACTTGCTCTAGCAGCTCTGCACGCTCCGCCTCCGTAGTTTTCGCCGTCAAACCACAGGGCACAACCACCACTTGGTACCTGGCTACGCGCGGCGGGAGAACAAGGCCTTGATTATCCGCATGCACCATGATCATAACACCGATGGTGCGCGTAGTAAGACCCCAGGAGTTCTGGTAGACGTAGCTCTGCTGATTTGTTTCTGGATCTTCAAACATCACCTCAAAGATTTTGCTGAAATTCTGCCCCAGATGGTGTGAAGTGGCACCTTGAATAGCGCGACCAGAGGCCTCAATGAAGACCTCTACGGTGGTGGTGTACTCACCGCCAGGAAACTTCTCCCGTTCGGTCTTTCGGCCTTAAAAGGCAAAGGAGTTCAGTGTGCGAAAAATAACTGAAGTGATCTTCATTGTCATTAATAAAGCACATTTCAAATACATGTGCCATGAAGATTGTTAGTCCCAATTCCTAATAATCCAAGTTGTAGTTACAAATCTCATTTCCACCTAAATTGTCAAAACCTTTCGACATCTGGATTACCAGTTCCCCTTCCTCACCTCGTCAGGGCACAAGGCGTAGACGCTTTTGTTTTCACCACTCCGACTGGTAGTATAAATTGGTGATGGACAGGCTTAACATAGGCGCAGAAAAATGCAAGCGATTTTGAAGATGGAAATGTCAGTATAAGCAACTGGTCTAAAACGACACCACCTCGAAAGAAGGATGACGTGACCAAAAGTAGCCCGGAAAGGTAATTGTTACTGCCTAAAACGCGTTCTGATAGCGTGTCGGCAAATCAACCCAAGTGTCCATCCCCTCGTCTGAGTCTTGTGACAAAAAGTGAAAAAATCTCGACTTCTGTACTGCATCCAGAACACCCAGAAATGAGCTCCCATTTGATGTAATTTACCAGAGGTCCCACTACTTTCTAACCGATGACAGCAGTGTTGCAATAATCTGTAAAAATGAATATCGTTGTTTACCGCACAAGTATTTCATTTTGAGCACTTAGTCCACCTTGAAGCAACAAAATAAAATCGGAATAACAACCCCATTGTGACTCAAGATCACTGTGAAATGACTGCCGCGGCTACAATATGCCAAGTTTACCCTGCAAGGTCAAGGTCGAAAAGAAACAATGAGTAAGGACATAACGCCCAAGGCCTCCGGAACACACACTCACCTCTGATACAGGGAATAGCCAGAAGATCGTTATAAATGCTTCGATATAAGTTCAAAATCGTCAAGACCTCAGCTTCAGCCTCGGCCTTCGAGGCAAAAGCAGTATGACCCTCTTGCCAGAGGAACTCCCGAGTCCTATGGAATTTAAAAGAAAAGAGCTAAAGGTTCTCCTCAATGGCCCTCGACATGCCACAATGAAACCCATAAGAGCACAAACCTTAAGAAGGGAGTTGGATGCTTAAATTCCCAACGGACAATGTTGCTCCATTGATTGAGCTTGAGAGGGAGATCACGATGCGACTTGATCCACTTCGCAAAGGCTGGATACATGATTGTCTCGCTCGTCGGTCGCAGTGCGATCGGCTCCGCCAGTTCCGAAGAGCCCGAACGTGTCACCCATGCAACCTGTTAGGAGGTTTACTCAACACTATCAATACTATCGCCTAAATTCCCACAGCCTTTTGACATTTCAGTTTAGGTTTCCAGTAATGCAGAAAACTTTCAATCAATGTGTATGTGTGTGTGCCTGAGTGATTATTTAAACGCACTTCAGGAGCAAAGTCCGCGATGTGTTCTTTCTCCTGCTCGAGGGCTCCCTTTGACACAAACATGGGGAAGTAGGCATTATCAACACCCAAAGCTCCAATCGCCTTGTCAAAGTAAGACTGAATCTGGCTCCAAATAAAGTAACTCCAAGGTCGGAGAATGTAACAGCCCGAGATATCGTAATATTCCAACAATTCGGACTTTTTGATAACTTGTGTGTACCATTCGGCTGGGTCGTCCTCCTTCTTTACTTCCATGCCCAAACTATGAGTAGAAAGGAGTTCGTTGAGTCCTGACCCCTCAACAGATGACTAAAGAGTAGAACTTCCTAAATGTGGAAATACCGTGTCTGTTTCTTTCCTCCACCCGATTCCTCCGTTTTTTTAGCAGATAGTGACTTCTCTTTGGGTGCTGGACAAACCGGTGCTGCAGCGGTAGCGGGAGGGGAAACTGCAACTGGCGCTTCCGCGAGTTTCATTTGCTGTTCTTGCTTTGCTTTTTCCCGACCAGCCTTCCGCGCAGCTTTCTTCTCCTCTTTTAACCGTTCCTTTTCTGCTCGTTTGGCAGCCTCTTCTGCAGTTAAATTAGGAGAATCCTAAAGGAGGATGTAAGAATGATATTAAAATTCTCAGAAGGAATATATGGCACACTTGAACTCTGCACACACAAGCTTACCTTTTTGGCAGATGCATCTCCCTTCCCCTGCTGCTGCTGCTGAAGCTTGCTGTCACCAGCTTCACCAACCTTAAATTTTGAACCTGTAGTTGGACGCTCCTTTGTTGCACCATCAGGGATGTAGATAAGAACACACGGTGCTTCCTTCAACGTTGATGGACTACAGGGACGATAGAATAAGAAGTGGAACTATGTACGCGATGATGATTCTGGAAAATGAAAAAAACCAAAAGGCACTCACTGTGAGGACCTGTAGGGTTGATCACAGATGTAGAACCCCTTCCGTTGCAACTGAATGATATCACCTTTATTCAGATTGCGCATTTGTGGATCACCAAAGCAGGATTCCGAGGACTACAAAGGCCGACAAGGATCAAACTTTAGAAGATACCAAATAGCCACTGTGGGTACCTGCAGCATGCACCTACCACAGACTTGTCGTTAATAAAATTTTTAAAATCTTCTTCTTTTCCAATAAGGGGTTTTGAAATGAGATTGCCATAGGTAAGACAGGTGAGGGGAGTCAGAAGAGCAATTTCACCGCCCACGTTTTGAAGAGCATCTGGATCCGCCAGCCACGTTACTTTCTGGGTTTTCTTGTAGTCCTGCGAGGATAAAAGTAGGTAAACATCTCGACTCAATCGTAGGTGTAATCGGCAAGTAACAAATGTAATCTCACCGTATCTTCTAGATTGAGTTCCGCATCTACAGCGTAGATTCTTCCATCCGTGTTGAGGAGGACTTTGACAATGCGAAGATTACCCCAGTTCACGAAGGTCACGTTATCGCCCTCATTGAAACACTCAGCATCGGCGTATTCGACAAAAACAATGGGGGCCATGACGACTGTCTTTTCGCCCAC